GCACAACGTCCCTCATTTTCTATGCTGACAACCCTAGCGCAAGTCGCAAGTCGCCACAGGCCAGAAATTATACTGGCTTTTTGTATGTGAACGTGATACATTTTAATCTGTGGCACATAGATCAGCAAAATAATGGAGGTAAACTTAAAATTGTACCTACTTAAAATTGTTCGAATCGCTTATTTAGACTTCGACATTAGTTCTTGCTAAATCTCATTGAATGTTGTTTAGCTATCGCCCTCAATGATAACTTACTTACGTGAGAGCTACTGTAATGAAAAATGTAGATAAACTGTAGTCTGTAACAATATAATCTAGAGTTCTGAAAGTGCAACCTCTCCATGAAATGTTCATTGAGAAAGCAGAATTTAACTACTAAATAGACCTACTCTTAAAGCAGTTAATTTTCTCTGTGGTCGAAACCTTTAATGATGATAACGACTGAAAAGCTACTGCTATCACCACTTCATCCACTAACGTAACCTCGTTTGTATTTACAGCCCATTAGTTTTTTTTTCAAAGTGCACGTAAACTACATGATTTACATTTAGTGCTAACCGAGTTAGCTGTTCTCCTAACCCTGTGCCCGTTGTTTATACAGGGCCAACTTTTATAAAAGCTTGTTAAAGCATGTCTTTTGTAATTTCGCTAAAAGGGGCCGGTCGGGCCGGCGGGACATCTATATGTTAATTGTGATTTGGAGCACCTATAGCTGTGCCTAAGTCACATACGGAATAAACCATGAAGGGACGAACATACTCGTCCTGACTAGGCAAGTTACTTATTTGTCCTAATTGTACTAAGTGAATTAATAGTTAGTTTGTGTTTACGCGTGGAATTAAATTCATTATATTATCTGGATTTTTATCACCTATTTATAATATCAAGGGTCATAACACGAGTTTTAGAAAAAAAAATGAAAAGAAAGACCGTCAAAGATTGAAGCACGACCTTTTGCTTAGTAGAAAACAGTAAGCGGCAGAAGATGCTTTCATCAAATTCCAATAAGAGTATTCTAAGTATTCCAATAAATAAAGAAACCCTTCTACACCAGGAATGAGAAGGAGTTCTTACTGGCATTTATTTTCCTTTCCAATTTTGCATAGATCAACTACCTATCTTCTAACTAAGCAGTCATCGAACTTCAGTGATTTTTATGTCTTGCAAGCAATGCAGCACCAGTTTCCAAATCCTCAGTTACCAAGTTACTTTGTACTCGATATTTTTCAGTTCACGTTACACGGATCCTAGTGGCCACTTCTACCAAAGAAATAACAATATAAAAGTTGGAAGCGACCTGCGAAGTAAACGATCCCACGTAGAGAATAAAATGGCAGGTAAACTGCGCGCTAACGTGTGCTAGGTAATGATGTTATGTAGCCCCTACCACTGTATAATTGAGGATGCAGTTCTATCTGTTTGCTAAACTATGAGGATAACGGTGGACTGTATCTTTTATAAAGATAATGGTTCCAACGCTGGACTAATCTAAAAGTTAACTTTTGTTTCTACCACTAGAGTGGGTTGAAAGTGCGTTTCACTCTCTGTTTACAAAACTGTGAGTAGAACGGTGGACTTTACCTAATAATTAGCGAATGCGGGGTGACAAACGCGGTCTGCTCTGATGAATTTTTACAGAGAAGTAGTATTTGCACGTATCTGCTGTTGGTATTTGATCGTGAGCTTTGTTATTCTCATTTTCATGTTTGTTGTTTTTGCTTTACTTAAACGTATGCCAAAATGTGTAGGGTGTCACCGTTGCTCAGTTGCGTCTTGTTTTTTAAATGTTTACCTGCGACCACTGAAAACCAGCGTCGTGGTGCTACGCACTGCGGCTTTATGCTGAGTGGAAGCCTATTTGGCATAATTTTAAAATTATTTTGTTTAACGTTTTATTTCTGCAATTTGTTGTTCTAGTGTGCCATATAATGTATTTTCTTTCTTTCTTCTAAAAATTGTGGTTGGTTGGTACACATCGTACATAATTCTAGAAAAGACCGTGCAAGGTGGGAAAAACAAGAATAAGTATATGCCCTGTGAAAGAAAATGATTGCACTTACCTTTACTTAACTCCAGATGCTGTAGATGAAGATGTAGCTGCAGACGCCTTTAACAGACACCTCGAGGTACCACGGCCACAGGACAACTCCTTCTCCAAGTCTTGCGACTTCATACTTCATCATTTTTCATAGCACCTTTTCCATACACAAAGCACACAAGTTCGGCACCGATAACAAAAGTACAAAATAAAATCAAAAACTATTAAATTACGATAGATGTCACTTTAGACATCACTGCCCGGCGGTAGTCGCTCGAAAAGCTGAAGTGCCGCTAGTGGCGCCACCTTCAGTGTACCTTTATGTAAATAGCAAGATTCAACTTCCTGTATGTTTATTTAAGGTTCGAAGGCAATAAATTCATTTTTGATTTATTTTATTTAATTTTTATTTTATTACTCTTATTTTATTACGTGCGGGATAGTGATAGAAGAAGGAAATTTACGTATTAAAAGTAATCGAGTCAAAACAAATTCCTTTAATCGTATCTACTATGTGCGTAAAAAATATTCAATTTAATAGTAAACTCAACTCTTGAAAGTTCTTTCACATAAATATTATTTAAACTGTATAATAATTCCCACAAAGGCAAGTGTGAAAAAAACATTCCTAACTTCTAGGACCTTTGATAAGGGTCCAGTAATTCAAGGCTGGGGCCCGCTGGACCCGGCGTAATCCCGCCCGGGCTTTCCGGGTATGACCTGAGTCCAGCCAAACCCCGTTTACATGATCCGTTTTAGCCTATGGTTTGACTGGATGGTGGGCTTTAACTTTTATAGATTGTGGAGCGAGATTTAAACGTTTTGATTTGCTGACAACAATGAAAATTCTCTTCAGAAAAAATATGAACAGCCTATTGAACTACCACCAATATTATTTTATATTTTTGATACATAATGTTATTAACAAAAACTTGCCTTTTGTAAAACTTTCCATTTTAAGGCCATGTTCCTGGATCCATGTTAAAGAAGCCTCTGGTTTCACCTGTACCCAGTGGGATGTTCAGGTCATTTATTAGCACCCGAAAAGTCTAACTAATATTTATTCAAAATGCATTCTGTTTGTATCCAATTAAAGCATGCTTAACACGATTCCAATCTTGACATAGCATGCAACCTCGCCCTTGTTAAATTAGTAATGTTGTAGATTCTATCGTGGGAACGACCAGTTGCGATTGCTTTACGAAATAACACCGTAGAATAAAATATGTAAAGCTTCGGCCAAATCAACGCGTGTGGCTTGCGTTGGCGACACGGCGATAGCGATAGCGTTCATTGGCATAATATCGCCAATAACAGGACGCGTTGATGTGAACTTATCGTTTTTAATTCATACACGACATTTGGGGGCGTAGTGTGAGTTTATATCCCGCAACGATATCGGTTGCGTAAAGTGACATTAAATGTATGACGGATTGAACAGCGTCCCAGCGGAAACTTTCAAGAACTAAAATCTTCATAATATTGTTTTTTTAAAGTGCTCGCTGCCCCAACGGCCATCGTCTCTACGAGCTATGTGCCCCGCCCACTGCCACTTGGTTTTAGCAATTCTGCGAGCTATGTCGGTCACTTTGGTTCTCCTGCGGATCTCCTCATTTCTGATTCGATCACGCAGGGAAACTCCAAGCATGGCCCGCTCCATCGCCCTTTGGGTGACCTTGAGCCTTCTTATGAGGCCCATAGTAAGCGTCCACGTTTCGGATCCATAAATCAACACTGGCAGCACACACTGCTCGAAGACTTTTGTCTTGAGACACTGCGGTATTTCGGACGTGAGTATATTGCGTAGCTTCCCGAACGCTGCCCAGCCGAGTTGGATTCGACGATTGACCTCTTTCTCGAAGTTGGCCCTACCTAACTGGACTGTTTGTCCCAGGTATACATAATTGTCAACGACTTCGAGTGTAGAGTCTCCAACCTTCAAAGGAGTGGGTGGAAGACGTAGCGTGGGCAGGCCTCCTACTAGGTGGACCGACGATCTCGTAAAGGTCGCGGGAAGAGCCTGGATGCGGGCAGCGCAGGACCGTGCATTGTGGAAAGCCTTGGAGGAGGCCTTTGTCCAGCATTGGACGTCATTTGGCTGAAACGAACGAACGAACGAACGAAAGTGCTCGCTAGAGACGAGTGACGACGTTTGATGTAAACTCACATAAGCCCTCAGTGTGCTTACCATGAGTTTACGTTAGGTGTGCTCGCTAGCGACTGCGTAAAGTAATGACATTTAAATGTATGACATATTGTGCAGCGCCTCTGGCGACTACTTTCAATAAATATAATCTTCATAGATTTTTTGACGTACTCGCTAGCGAACACACCTAACGTAAACTCATGGTAAGCACACTGATCGCCGTTGCGCACGCAGGCTGCACTCGTTGGTTTGGCCGAACCTTTATGAAAGCACTGCCTGGACAATTAAGTCGACCAGTGTAAATCCCACATAAGCCGTGTACCGCCACGCGTTGATCCGGCGCAATATTGGGCAGGGGTTGTATTGCGCTTTAATAATGACCCGTTTTTAATGCAAATATGCGGTTTCATCTGCAGACCGTGTTAAATTGCCTATTTTGTTTTTTGCAGGGTTAAATGGAACACTTAAAATTCGGTTTACTGGGTCGGTGCAAGCTGTGTTCTCTTTGATGACATTCTTTTTAAAATAACATCATGTCCCTCCATGACTTGGTACTCTCATAGCTTTACTTTTGACTTTTAAAACTTTATTTTGAAACTTTGTTAGTCTACATTTTGTAGGTAGGTAATCATTGTCTGGAATGGTTACTTTCTAAAGTTAAATTATTACTGATATCGATTGTGAATATCTGAAAACTTTTCCTAGTAAAAACTTATAAAAAGGTTGAATAATGTAGAAGTACGTTTCAACACAATTTTATTGTTTCATTACAATTTCAGCCTTGCTTTTATAAATATTTTATACATTATTTACATCACAATCGTCATTCAATTTCGAGTACAAATTCCGTAAAAAGTTTCAATTTCACCCATAAAGATCAATCATGCTGATAATATGAGAAAATATTTTTTTTATACAGTGGTAACATGAAATACAATTCCATTATTAAGAAGTACGTTCCGTGTAAACGGATTGAAGTTCCTTATAACAACGATCATAACATCCTGAGATGATTGTCTGTAGAGCTGCAGTCGCTCTTCTCGTATTGTCATTGTTTCGACAGCCCCAGGTTATTGGCTAGCTGGGTACACCTAGCCACGACTTCATCTTGAAGGAGACTGAAGGACATGGCTATTAGGATGAGTCCGAAGACGAGGTAGGCACAGCAGGCGACCATTTGGATGTATTCGCTTTTGGAGGTCTCCGTGCTTTGTTTGGAGGTGAGGAAGCTGGTGGGGACGAAGTCTCCGAAGCCGATAGTGGCGAGAGCGATGAAGCAGAAGTAAGCGGCGTCGAGGAAGGACCAGTTCTCCCAAGCGGAGAAGATGGCCGCGCCCACACAGATGTAGGCGAAGAGGAGGAAGAGCACGATGCCGATGGGGACGTGACAGTGGTCTATGGTGTGGTGATGCTGCACGCTGGTCGAGGCGCTGCTGGTGGGAACTGCACAACTCTTGGATTTGCTCTCGTCGTTCCAGATCAAAGGCACTCGGGAGGGCGTGTCGTGTGGACATATTCTGTAACGAATATTTAAACTGTAATTAAGACTTACGTAAAAATTAACTCATAGATGAAATCGTGAGTCTAGATGTTTCAATAATTATAAGTATGATTTTTAATATGAATTATTACGCTTTCTCTTTATTAAAATTAATATAAACAACATGACAAGGTGTCATTATTGTGGTGACCCGCCCTCCTCTTTATTTACATTATTTGTATTTATTTCCGTTACCCTAGTAATTGGTGAAAATAACTTACGATTCATCAGGATCCTCAGAATCGTCTAAATCCTCTTGACTCCTATGCAGCGGGATCTCCCCACATTCTTCAGCTATGAGTTGCTCAATCACAGCACCTCGCGGCCTCTGAATGGTATTTCTGCCTCTGCCCCGACCTGGCCCGTGAACTGTGGCCAGACACTTCATACTCCCAAACGTCTTCTTGCGATCCAACGTCTGCGTTTGAAGAGCTGAGGAGGAATGCGGCTCTGAGAACAAAAACACTTTAGTTGGTGAACAAGGACTAAGTTGGCGTGCGTACAATGAAAGCGTAGCGATGAAGCGCCCGGTATTTACAGTATCGATCACCAAAGGTCAATGTCAATCCAACATGACCTTACGGGTTTGTCTTTCGGGGTTTTGTTTTGTTCGTAATTAAGAAATCGATTATAATGTCAAATCCATCGGTTCTAATGGAGTCTTTGTTTCATATCACATACTTCTAAACAATTCATATCACAATCATCAATCTTTTATTCTTCAATCAATAGCTACATTACTTAAAAACAAATCATTCGATTGCTGGTATTATACCTAACGTTAAAGTGCCTTATTCATACAAATCGGTTTCTTTGAGTTACCATCACCAACACATTTTACTCATAAGTTAGTCACACAAGGCAAATAACCCTACTATAAGTCAGTCCAGGTTCAACACTAAGTACCTAGTAGGTATGTAGACGATTTATTTACATTGCTAGAGCACCAGTAAAGGTACTTGAGGTTACCTAACCTAGGTCNCTATCCTAGTCTAAAAGCCACAAAACATAAGCTCACCATCAGCCAAGGCACTGCGCTTGATACGACCGAGCGTGGCGGCCCGAGGGCTCGTGGGGGCCCTCTCGAATACTTGCGAATATTGACCTCTGTCTCCGGCCCGGGCCCTCACAGTCCCGGGGGATCTGTGGCTTCGAGGAGGGAACGAGGTGTACTGGTTGTTCTCTGCTGGCTGTGGCAGGAGGCGCTGCTGCTCGTGGAGTTGGAGGTGGTTTTCGAGCTGGTGATGGAAGAAAATCACAAAAAATGATTCACCCGATATTAAAACGCCATAAATTCGACTTTCAAACACAACTTTTAAGTTGGTTGAATTTATAAATGTATGAATTCGGTCAAATTATGCTTTAATCATTTTAGTTACATTAGCACAATAACCACAGTTTATTAGACGACGGTGAATAATGCTTGAGTTTTAATTGAATTAAAATCGATGCGATGACTTAGACTTTGAAATATTGTTTATCCAATAAAGCAAATAGAAGTTATATCGGTTCTAATATAAATTCTGTAACTAATATCTAGTTTGTAGAATGTTTATGAATATGAGAATATGGAATCAATTAGAAAAATAGTGGATAATAAATTTTTGTTATTTTTTAAATTACTCACCTCACCATCCTTCCGCCATGTATTGGGTACTTTCCCTTTGGTAGCCCTCAGCCAGGCCAGCCGGGCCAGTCTGGCTAGCGAGGCTCCTAGGCCAGCTAGACAGGCCAGGGTCAAAGGCACTCCAGCAGCAGCGTACGCCACCGTCGCTGCTCTGCCCGCAGCTGTACGGGGCGAGACGTTTCCATATCCTGGAATAAGGTGTGAAGTAGAGTGGACAATATTCGTAGTTGGTCTTTATATTGGTTGGGTTGTACGATAAGTATCGTGATCATCATCGTCAGGTCCTCTAATCTCCACTACAGGAAGGCCTAGAACCAGAGTAAATACAAATGAGTAGGTCATCTTTAAGACAATTTAGCGTGGATTAGCGGTGAGTGAGGTACGCTGAATTTTGTCAGTGTGTGCGTGCGCGCCGCATACGTATTGGCGCGCTCACATACAAACCGCACTCAGGCGTTTCTATGAAGATGATCTACTCATTTGTATTTACTCTGCTAGAACGCACTATGCGGTTAGCCGGAATGCGGTCAGCCGTCCGGTTAAAAATATGTATTGAAACAGCTGCATGATAGTGCGTCGTTATCATGCGGTTTCATGTAATAATCGATGTGCGGCCTACCGCCGCATTCCGGCTAACCGCATAGTGCGTTCTAGGCTTAAGAAGTTCCTCTAAAATTTACCAAATGCTTAGAGTAGGCGCACACCGTTGATTCTTAGTTGGCCGATAGTTGTGTCCGATTTTAAATTGTATGAAGAATCGGCCAAATCGAATCGGCGTAGTGTGTGCACTCCCATACATGCCCATACTGATCAACTGCCCGACTAAACTATCGGCCGACGAAAAAGCAACGGTGTGCGCCTAATCTTAGCCTGCACTTCCCAAGTTGAACAGATGGGATTTTTTATTTTCATTAAGGCTGAGTTGACGTTACTTGGACCGTAACTATAACGGTAACCGGCGATTATTTTATGGAGTTTGACAGATTTTTGACGTTTGTCAAAGTTAAAGTAAGATGGTGCAACTCAGACTAATTCTATAAGTAGAAAGAAGGAAGGAAGAATCCTTTTTCTCGAGGCCTTCGTTAAGGTCACTTTGCTCTGATGTTAACTCTCGAAGAACCAGAAGGTTGATGAGAATTTTATCAGGAACTTGCTGGATTCCTATCTTCTAGATTAGCATGTATTTTTGGAATACCGGCTGCAAGATTCATTCATTTATCTTTCTAGGACAAAACCTTGGTGGTAAAGTACACCCACCAAAAACATTCTGTAAAAAACTAGCCAAGTCTCGATGGAGCTGTTGTATCTCTAAAAAGTAATGAAATCTAGACAAAGTCGTGCCAAGTCTATGGTTCCTTACTGCGATTGGCGCTCGACTTGGCGGGGGCACTGCCATGCCCCAGACACATAAATAAAAGAACGTACCTATAGTAGTAATTAAAGTGATGCAGTATATCAGAGCACCCGAGAAGGTCCACTTAGAGTCCATGGCCAACTCGGGCGGCTGCGTCTCCGAGGACTGCCTGGCCGCGGCCACGATGGACGACTCGAACTTCCTGAGCTGCTCGTGGACCAGCCGGGTCCAGTTCCTCTCGTAGAGGACATTGAGGCGTTCTGGAACAAGAAGAAAGTTGTTTAGTTTCAAGATACAAGTTTGGGAAATGCTAAAATTATGAATGCGATCTGGTGAAAGTAGCGCGAGGTGCCTGGATGCGGGCGGCGCAGGACCGATCATAGTGGCAATCCTTGGAGGAGGCCTTTATTCAGCAGTAGACGTCATTCGGCTGAAACGAACGAATAAACGAATTGCGGTGTTGCTTTTGACAATGCGTAGTAAAAACCTACACTTATTTATATTATTAAAAAATAATATCTACTTACAACTTTATAAGAACTAATAATTCGTACCGGAAAAAGTATAAATTATTTCCGTTAAAAGCTCGTGCTATGAGTGACCTTATAACAATAGTCCGGCAGACGGTGGGGATTGTGCTAGTTTACCCTCGAATTGGCAGTCAGTTCCCGACAACACCGATCACTTATTTATACTGGGAGTAAAATTTATGAAAATATTACATATTACAATACAACCCTCTTTCAAATAATAAAACGACAGCTTTATCTGTTTCATAGAATACCGTAGTCATATAACATTTTTTCAAGAAGACTTCAGTCAGTTCTTTTCTCGACGAGTACTTATCAGTTTCCTTACAAAACGAATACGAGTTATAAAATTCAACATAAAGAACGGTTCGGTTTCTGTTGCGCTCCTTCCTCGTAAGCCCGGATGTGCCTCAGAAGGAACTGAAACTTTGTAGTCAGTAACGCCGAGACATTTTCGGAAGTGACTTCGAAGTATCGCCGGATGTGCCATCAGAGGAACTAAAACTTTAGCGATAAATTTAAGTTCAAAAATTCGCGCCTATCGAAAGAAAAGAGNTGACCAGTATAATTTAAGTTAAAATACTGCTAAACAAGCAAAAAAATTATTTTTCCCAATTTGAAGTAGTTTTGTAAGATTTTTTTTAGTTTAAAAATAAAAGTTCTTTGCAAGGAACATTCGGTCTTGATGGTGAAAGTTTTATTTTTGTATATTTTTTCTATTGAGATGGGATTGAGTATTGGACTTTTAAAATAATGATATGATTGAGAATATTTACCATGAGAACGTTCTGATTTTTAGTTTAGTAAATATTATAATTAACATGAATATTCACTTTACTTCTTGTACATTTTAACCTATCATTTGTGTATGTTATAAAACCGATAGTACTTTTAAAAGTACTAAATATGAAACATTAAATAAAATTAAAACCGTTGTTCCTTTTCAGTTACATTTATTAATATCGTTATTGTATCTTTATATAGTATTAATTTATTAAGAAGGTTACATTTATGTTTTACTTTAAAGTATAAAATACAATTTATTTACTTTTCCTTTTTAAAGTCTGTAATACCGAATGTTCTTTTAAGAGAAAACATTTTTTTAATATTTTTCACCTAAAATAAGCTCTATGCACTATTATATAGGGCCCCTGAAAATATGAATGCAAAAGAAAATCTCTAAGATAGAATTTTTTTTACTCGAAGTGCTCGGCGTTTACTACTTCAAATTATTCGTTCTTCTGAAAGCACATTCGGCGATACTTAGAAGTCGACACAATTTACTCTTCGGTCTTACGAGATTAAAGTTCTTCAAAAATCTTCCAAGCCTTTTTCTTAAAGGCGGTTATATTCTTTTGCTTCACTTTGTATGGAATACAATGGCAGCGTTCAGAAAGTTCGCGAAATGTGGGTAATTGCACTTTGGCGTGTGGTTTCGCATTGCACAGTTATTATTCTTGTTGTTTTTGTATTGACTGCGGAAATAATTTGCAAACGTCAGATTTAAAACGAGAATCGTCATGTTTAAAATGTATAACAATAAAATCGTGGAAATGAGAATAAACAAGTCCATGAGTTTTGATAATTGTGTCACAATCTTCATCGTAATCATAATCTCTTTCTTGAACTGGGATGTTAAAGATATCGCTTTCTATTGATAAGGTTGAATTCAGAATTCGGTCGTTGTTGTATTTATTTGAAGTGGCTGTTAATTTTGTACGTTGTTTTAAACTTTCATGGTCACTAACATAATTATTATTACTCACGGGATTGCTTTTGCTACCATGTACCTTAATTTTGAGTTTCCGATATTTCGGCACTGTTGCAAGCGCCATGGTTAAATTAAGGTACATGGTAGCAATCCCGTCGTATGTATTCAAAAAGTAGGTACTCTATCAATATAAGTAGTAATAATCTAAGTTATTAGATACCCACGACACCCACGATTTGAGACATTGTTGTGTGGAAAAATAAAAATATTATTTTAAAATTGGATTCTAGTTTATCTCACTACCTAAATCAACAAACACATTAAATTCTAGTGGGTCCTTACTATAAAAGTTCCACCTACGTCTTATAGATAGAGTGCTTATTTTGTAGTAAAACAATAATAACTTCGTCAGCATTGTTTATGTGGCATACTTAGGATTCACTACAAAACGTTTGTAGACATATAAAATCCGCTTTATAGGCCATTTGTAGTATTCTTTTTTTCACTGGAACATTTCTGTTTTATGCGTTTACTCGTAAAAAGCAGATGTACTGAAAGATTAAACTTTACGTTCGGGTTTCATATAAAATTAATATTTTTATGTAAGAACCGAAAAATTCAGGTGCTTACAAACCTGGGAATGTCGAGGGTATTTCAGTATTGTCGAAGTGTGTCAAGATTATGAAGGGCCCTTGGGAAATGCAGGAATTCTTTGGAAATACGAGAGTAAGACGTTAAAACGGTTTACGAAAAGTGTGGGAATGGCCAGCGTCTTAAAAAGTACAAGTTGATCTTTTTTTAACCTACTTAACCCTTTAAAAGTACAAGTGGGTATTATTTATTTAGTAACTTGTACTTTTAAAGGGTTAAGTAGGTTAAAAACTTACTTATTAATTACCAATTTTTGTTTGCTTTTTTGAAACTGATTTATTTATTTATTTATGAATAGAACGGTAGCACCAATTACTTACACTATTCAAATAAGACGTAACAATACTTCAATAGCTGTATGATAGATAGATATTATTAAATAGAGAGTACAGCCTCAAAACAGGCTAGTAGAGCGAGTATAAAATCGACTAAAATCGAGCACCAATGGAATGTCGCATTTTTATCTTGTAAAGAAAGAGACTACCAGTGAACTAGACACTAAAATAAAATCTTTAAATTATTTCCCTAAGTGTCGCCACTTGACAAATCTGTGCCAGTAGGTACCTAATGTGCAATTAGCTACAATGAAGCGATTAAGATCTTGCTTCAAAATAATATGCAACAGAGTCACCACAATGTTTCATTTTCCTTTAATACCGCTCTTAACCATGTTTCTAAACGGTTTCAAAGAAACCAAGGGGATATTTTTTTTTTTTTTCAGCCAAATGACGTCCACTGCTGGACAAAGGCCTCCCCCAAGGTTTTCCACAATGAACGGTCCTGCGCTGCCCGCATCCAGGCTCTTCCCGCGACCTTTACCAGATCGTCGGTCCACCTAGTAGGAGGCCTGCCCACGCTACGTCTTCCAGCCCGAATAGGGGATATACCAGTAAATAATCTAAACCCTCCAAACGGCTACAGCCCTTTACACTGCCAAAATGCGAGAACACGAAATCAATCGACACCAACAGTCCGCTGATCGAGATAGGACGAGCCCGTCCGTGTCTCCCCACAATATGTATACCCTTCGCCAGTAGAATCCGGGAAATTTTACAATAAACAGTCGAATAACTTTGATATCGATTCGAATTTTGGATATATCTGGAGAAATGACATTATATTGCAATTACTATTTATGTATGTTTATCTAGACAATTTTATGCAGCTCACTATTTTATTTATTTTATCAATGGTCCGTGACCCTCACTCGGCATGGGGCACACTGAAAACCAGCGCCGTGGCCTTCGTCACCGTGGGCCACGGCATATGCTGAGTGGGGTCCCGTTGCAGTGGGCATCTTGTTGGTGGATGGGTGGCACTGCTCAGTTTGCTCTTGTTTTTATTTTTTCTTCTTTTATTATTATGTGCCACTGTCATGTCTATGTAATTGCCTGTATTTTGTGTGATGTCCGTTGTAATAAATGTATCTTTCTTTCTTTCTTTCTTTCTTTCAATGTGAAATACTGTTAGGGATTCAATTTATCTCTCTTTCAGTAGATTTTTTGTTCATTCGTTCGTGATTCGTTCCAAATCACGTCCACTGCTGGATAAAGGCCTCCCCTAAGGATTTTCACAATGACCGGTCTTGCGATGACCTTCGCCAGATCGTCGGTCCGCCTAGTAGGACCGGGAGTACTGTTCACACTACGTCTTCTGGCCCATGGTCACTCGAGAACTTTTCTGCCCCATTCGCTACACTGTCAATTAAGTTTATGTCGGTTTCTTTGGTTTTCATATTTATCTATCTATTTTCCTATAATAATATGATGATGATGATGATGATGATGATTTTCCTATAAAAGAGTAGCTTTTTATCATAATGGATTTACGAAATTGCCAGTTTCCATTGGCGCGGAGTATAGGTATGATTTTTGCCGAACAACGATCGGATCTGCAAATTGGATGGCCGATGCTTCCAAGATAGCTGAACTGTATTGGATGTTTTGGTGATTGGATTGTGAACTAAACAGTTGGTAACGGCTGTAAAAGGTTGTAAAACATTTTAGATGGGTAATTTGATAGGAATGGTTCGGAAACTAAACAGTTTCAGCCTATAAAAATGTTTGAAAGTTATAAAAGATGCTTATAAAATGTTTCTCTGCCGACACGCCCAAACATTTCAATGTCAAAAAATATCAATACTGTTCCAAAACATGTTTTTTAGCAATTCCTATGCTTTCTATTGTTCTTTGTTTTTTTTGTACAAAATAAGTTAAAAAAACAAACTAAGTACCTACCTAATTGTTCTTTTAATGCCGTATACGAAAATAAACAGCAAAATATCTTATTACTTATTCGTACCTACTCGTCATATGGTAGTTACATGAAATTATGAGTCTACTTAAAGCTTAAAACTAATTTTCTCATCTGATCGATTTCGCCCTTCGCATTCAAAAGGACAAGTACTTATCACAAGGGTCATTGAACCGATTGTGTATTCAGAGCAACAGAAACGTATTCAATTAAAATGACACTTGGAAACGTGTCAGACTCAGCATTAATCACACATGAACAATGACAATACAGATGGGACATTAAGGCTGTATACAATTACTGTCCTATTCACAATACCCCAATTCTTAAAATCTAAAACATTGCTCTTACCCATTGAATTCATACTTTTTCCTATAGATTTCTTACCACTACAAGGCTTTATTGTGGCAAGCTTCGAAAGTTCAGAAAAACTAACTTTCGTTTAAATAAAAAATAATGGATAACATTACTGCACACAATATAATAAAATTAAAAATGTTACCTATAGAACGTTCTAAATGGACAGTAATTACACAGTGTATTGTCTTCTGCTTTATTTATACATTGTCGGCAACATAAACACTTTTGGTCATGTCATCCGTTATACGAGTAATATTCCTCATTGTTTTCGTTGTTACTTATTCAGTTCGAATTCATCATTCATTAATTAACGAGATTTTCAATATCGCAGTATAATAATACGCCTACTTCATAATTAGCAACCATTGATTCTCTTTGCAGACAACTATAATTGTACCCCTACAATGATTTCAAGTATTATGATGAATCTAGACAAAAGGCAACTCACAAATTAACTCGCAAAATCCAATTAACATGAAAAACCAATGAACCAACATCGGTTTGTTTACAGTGTAATCCCGCGGAATTTCTAATTAACCTTTTAAAAGACTGATCACGTAGAAACGGTTTGAGACGGCGAGTGGGCTAATTAAATGATTCCTTTGGATGTGATTTGGAATTTTGGACTTTTGGAACATTCCTGGGATTTGGCGAGTCAGCGGCTTAATTGATTCGGTGGTGTCTTTAAGGTGTAACCGATTAGAAAGGTCAGGGTTTATATAAAATTGTTCTGCCGTGTAGGTACTCGTAGGTTGAAAAGGCTAGTTTCCTTAAAAAAACATTTTAGTGTGTCAATTACATTATCAAAAAATATTGGACACTTTTAAGCACCCCTTAGTCTCTTCTTCTCTTCTTTTGAACTTTGGCGCGCTGTATCTATTTCAATTTTAATTAGTTTGAAAAAGTGAAAAATACGTGTCGAGTATTTTTTGATAAGTTAACCGACGGAATAATTCAAACTTGCTTTTTTCCCCAGGAATCATCCCTATACCAGCGTGCCTCCAATCTCTATTCGGCCAGTCCGGCACCGTTGGGCTTTTTCATCTCAGTCGTTTCGCTCTTGGCAGAATGGTCGTGGTCGATTGTATAGGCGGATACAGTTCTCCGCTCGATCTTCGCCATCTTTTTCTGTTGTCAGACTGCCAGTCAGATCGGTTACCTCAGTCACCTTTGGGTTATAGTCGCTTAATTAAATGATTGGCGTAAATACCAACGGTACACTAATAAATACATGGTTTTTACTTCAAATTTTCCTAGACAGAATGAAGAGTGATAATTTTATAGGTGGGCATTTGTAACTTTCCATTTTCCGTTTTTGAGTTTACAAAGATAGAGTTTCTGTCATGTAAATTAAACCTATCATTCTACTAAAAGAAACTTCTCGCGTAAAGCCATTTAACATTTTCAGACGGTAATTATAAAAAAGTCTGCGCACCTAGCCTCAAGCCACAAATAAAGGAAGAAACAGAAGGTTCACTTTTCACTTAGAGTGATGAGAGAAAGATCAGTCTCGTTTACAATTATTTGTGCCTTCTGATAATGCAAATGGTATTTTTCGTTCGTTTGTTTTCGACCAAACGAAGTCTACTGCTATACAAAGGCCTCCCCCAAAGGATTTTTACAACCACCGGTCCTGCACTGCCCGCATCCAAGTGCTTCTTGCGACTATTACCGAACATAGCACGCTCTATCGCCATTTTGGTGACCTTGAGCCATAAACTAAGCGACCACGTCTGAGTTGATACTTCATATTGAAGTATCAGAACCGCTAAGGCCCAGAACAGACGGTGAAACGCAACTGCAACGAAACTGCAACTGCTAGTTACTTTTGAGTTGCATCTAAGTTTCTGCTATAGCGTCCGTTGAGAGTTCACACATGACGCGAACAGTTTGAAACTTTCAGTTTCAGTTTCATTCATCAGAATCATCAGAAAGTTGCAGTTTCATTGCAGTTGCGTTTCACCGTCTGTTCTGGGCCTAACGTCACTCTTTTGTATCGTAGAAACTTAGCGGGGGGTGGACTCACTGAATCAACTTTCTTTCACCCTCAGCGGTGAGACGAGAGAAAGGTTGACCCTCTCAAAAGTTAAATGGCACTTTTCACTTTGATTAAACTAAACAGAGTCTTGATTGCGGCCCTCATTAATTTGAGTGTCAGCCCATCGGAATTATAATGGGCTCCTTAGAAAGCTTGTTGCAGCCTCCGATAGACGGAATGTAAATGATATGACGTAATTTGTTACGGAGAGTAGGGATTTCATTGTCAAGGATGGAGGGAGATCTTTCATGAATGAGTCAGTTCTTAAAATATAATTCTTTCAGACGTCATAATGAAAGTAATGTAAAGTATTTTAAGTGCACAATACCTACCTACTAAGCCGAAGATTTTTTTCCTAAGATTATTAAAATAAATTACACTTATTTTATAAAGCCTGATTGTAGGTAAAATTATAAACCATTTGTTATTCCTCGAGCAGTGTAAGTACTGCGCTGCGAGTATAGTTAATCCTTAATCCACTGTGTGTGACATGCTCATAAATAATCCAGATTTGTGCTTGAAAAATCGATACTAACATTCATCGTTACAGACATTTTAGTCGTATGATTTATTACAGCTACAAAATATCCTACTTTATGATCATGACAGGTTATTAACAGTGTAAATATACCTAAGGTAGAATTTTGTCGATCTCCAGTTACCTGTATCTGAACAGCAAAACGTAAAACTGTAAATATCAACTATTTTAACTATTCAGTATCCGAAACGAACTAAATTAATTGCTACTCCGGTGTTTTCTAACCGAACCGGCAGTTAAGCGAAAAAATCCACCGCCTATCTCGAATCACGCGCGAGTGAATTGAAAATAAAAATCGATTCTGCATCCGAATATCGGACATGGAGAGGAATGTAACTTCGCGATGCACGATTCGAGTGAATAAATTTAGAACTGAAATCGCGAATATAGCCGTGGAATCGTCAGTCATGATCAAATCGTGACAAATTATATTTTTACAGTGTTTAAACTTAGACCATGTCAAAGGACAGTGCCAATTTTTTTGCAAAAAATGGTGTGAATTTAGGGACAAAAACATTAAAATTTTCATCTACTCAGTGTAGGAAACCCAGCATTTCTCCTATAAAATAGGTACATGAAAAAGTAGAACAGTTCAGATTTTTAGAATAGATCTACTTACTTATTCTATCAAATAATAATGAGAACTTATCACAGACCAAAGACCAGGCAGAAGAAACTGATCAACAAACCATCTAATACCAAATTGTAATTATGATGAACTTCAAATTCGAACGTCTCAAAAACAACTTGGCGGCGGATAAGGAAATTGGATGACAGCAAAGATAAACTGAAGCGTGTTTTGGAGGCAACTCGCAAAGATATTATTAGCTTAATTTTGCAAAAACATAAAGTTTTCTACGACAACAGCCGTGATCGAGCGACGGTTCGCGTGCCCGTGAAATTGTGGATCCGGGCTTATTTTGGCATCACTCGAAATGCAAACAAATTAAGGTTAAACAGTTTGTAGACCAGATGTTGTTCATCCAATATTAGAATGCAAATTCGTAAACAAAACACTGGACACTTTTATTTTGGTCATAATTAATAACCGTTAGTAATTTAAATGTAGCAAGGGAGGAACAAAAACAGTGCATTGTAATGATCCTTGGAGTGCATCCAGCGGTGGACTGCCATTGATTGAGCTAATGATGATGGTGATGATTCACATCACTAGACAAACTGTTGTTTGTTAGTAGATTATAAATCTTTTCGGAAATAGTAATTTGCCATGTGTTTATAAAAAAAATTCTTTAGTCTCTGTGAATACCATTGTAAATCCCTTGTGTATTGTAAAAACTGGAAATGTACTATTGCATAAAACGCTTTTGTGATAAGAAAATAAGATTTTTACGTCACATCCGCGTCACATAACGACATCCATCATTTAAGTCGTATCATTGTGTAGATCGCCCCATTTGTGCACAGAAGAAACGCATTGAATTTTCTTTGAACGTGAGAAAATTCTCGGCAGATTCATACATCGCAAACGAAAAGTAATAGAAGAAGTAATGGCAAATAAACGTTTTGAATTTGAATTGAATTTGAATTTGAAGAACTTTCCTTTTTTTATCGATCAAAATCATATGGCGTAGTCTTTACAGTGAAATATTTTAAGGAGATTGTCAGATTTAGTTCCATGTACCAAATAAAAAAACATCCTATCACAATGTTTTCACGTAACTCTAAGGCCTGGTTTCCACCTATGTGGAGCAGAGCGGAGAAGTGTTTTATCTGTCTTACTGTCAAAAAAAATGCGTCACACATTTCCTCTCTTCTCCACTCCGCTCTGCCTTTGTGGGAACCGGGCCTTAGAGAGCCTTGCTACCTACACTGGCGAATTACAAGCGGTTTCAACACTTTCAACACAGAGCTGCGGCGCAGCGCGGTACGCCGCGTGTTCGCGGCGAACACGCTGCGGCCTTTTGCAAGCATTTTGTCGAATGCGGCGTGCCCGCCGCGCCGCCGCCGCTCCACTTGCAATCCGCTAGTGTGGATCCTTCGCGTGTCTTCTATGATTTTTGTTACCTCACAGCCATATTTAACACGTGATGGAAAATGTTCTTACAATTAGAAATAATGACGTGTACAAAGACGTGTGAGATACAAAGAGCACTGGAAACACTTGAGATTATGTCGGATTTAGGGCAGACAAATAATACAGAGCAGGATATTCAGATAAGTTAGAAATAAATAAAGAAATCATTTACACTATTGAATAGATTAATGATTATTTGACTGTAATAAATTGTAATCTGGGCCTTTTCCAGGTGAGAGTGAACAGGCCACTTAGAGGGCAGATACGAGTATGAACCATCCTGGATTGCATCTCATTAACATCAGGTGCGATAGCGGTCTAATACCTGCCTTGTTATGCATAAAGTTCTAGACAAATTAACTTGTAATCTTAATAATGATCAAGTACGGAATATAACACCAATAACTGCTACGGTTAATCATAAGAACGGCAGGTGATATTGAGGAACACAAAATTATATTCTTAGCTGCTATAGCGACAGTAAATTCCTCCATTGATAGACGGTGCTAATAAATTGGCAATCTCCTTATTTCGGGAGAGTGCGCCTCATTACGGTGGATCGAGCGCCTAATGAGAGTAATAGGTCATCAGTGTGTGAGAGGAGACATCGAAGGATACTGAACAAGTTTAATTACCCCGAAAGCAGTATCATTATGCTATCTTTCTTCTTCAAGCGTCGACGATGGTCGTTAAACCAACATTATGTGAGAAAATTTTATTTCTCGTATGTATATTTTCCGCAGTAATATCTACTTTTTCGGGACTTTTTCCTGGTTGTTAGTCTAATAATTTATTTTATTTATTTGGAAACTTAACAGTTTGTCTACAATTTACATGTCACGCCTGAGTGGTTGTGAAGTTGTTAGAATTGGACTCTCTCGATTGCAGGTCTTGGGATTGATTCCCAGTTGGAAAACACAAATGAAGTATCCAGTTTGGTTAGGACATTTAATTTTAAACATTTGGTTTAATCAACTTTAGCCTGAAAATGTTGATTTGAGACTTATTAGAGTCTGCGGTGGCTCATATAAATGTTTATTAAGTCCATCAGTCTTTACATGCAAGTAGTAAAATTTCGTTGCTATACTAATTAAAAAGCAGGAGTTAACTATTAACTTATGCAGAATCAGAAATAATGGTCACGATGTAGTGCAAATAGCCAACATTCTATCAGAATGTTCATTCGAATCGAACTTTACAGAAGGAATTTCTAAATCGTTACGTCGAAATTCAATCCCGGACGTTGCTCGGCTCGCAGCACGAATCTGATTAAAATTTCAACACACATCAAACGCACGCCATTTTTCGCGGAACAATTAAAAGTTTGACGCATACCGCTGATAGTTTTGTCGAACGATTGGTTGGAGAATTTTTTAAATACAATTTTTGATAGGAAGTTAGAAACGCGTCCGATATGGACGAGATCGTTTACATATTTGTTCCTCAATCAATATTACTTATTATTCTAAAATGTATAAAACATGTGTTGGTTGGTGATAACCTTTTCCAAA